AATGAGTCTCAAAGTTCCATTCAACCTGTGAAGTGGAAAACCATATCCTGAGCAAGTACAGTAACTTAAGCTAAATTGCTTAGCTTGAGCAGCCACTGGACAAAGCTCCCATTGCCTTCGCTGAAAGCACATTCCCATCCTCCGACATGTCCTCCTCTGGAAATAACAATGTAGTAAAATAAGTGAATTCACCTTCTTCTGTGAACATGAGATTTACAGTGGCCAACAATTCCTACTAACAACTAATGTGGGTAATCTGTGTAAATCACTTTAGTTCGGAGGGGAAACAAATGTAGTTACTTTGAAAACTTGGAATTAACAGTCCTTTTAAGTGTGGAATACTGAAGTAAGCTTCTGTAAATGATGCCAATTTAAATGAACCTGCCTGTGAAGAAGCTGCACAAGGAAAAAAGTAGTTATGACTTTTCTAATATGTGTAGGGAGGATATAGCTAGGTGACAGCTAAGCCAAACGGTGGCATTTGCACATGCATTTCTTGAATTTTCTCTAAAGGATCTCTTGATTCTTCCAGGGTACAGACAAACGTTTTACAGTTATTCACAACCCCGTAAAACAAGTCTTAAGGGGATTTTTCAGTGGTGGAACATCTGTGACTTAAGAAGAGACTGAAGTCTTACTGAAGTCTGGATTAACTTGCGTAGAAATATTATAGGTAACAGTGAATAGAGAGGAAATAATGTGAAAAATATTTTCATAATTTGTTGCTGGGACTTACTGAGTCTCTTGAGTCATGGCCCAACACCTATGTATTTATTACTTTGGTGCAAATTTAACCCCTCAAAAGAGATGAAATATGAAGAACCATGCAGATTTTGTTTCATCTCACAGATGTTTCCATTGGTATTTTATCAGTCTCCTGGGTTCACAGTGCCCTGTGAAAAGGCTAAAGGCCAGTTCAAGTGCTGTGTTCTTAATGCAGGTGTCATTTAAATATGGCATTAGACACAATAAAATTATTTAGAGAAGATGTTTTAGATTTCAGAATGTCTGCTAGTATTAGCTACTTCTTACATTTCTACATTTAATTTGCACATTACTAATTCCTTTTGTTGTCAGATATTAGCTATGAAGCATATTTAGGAAAATTTAATTCAATTCCCTATATTTGGCTATGAGATTTCCATCCTAGAGAACAATATAAAAAGGACAAGAATCTCTCTCTTAACTCCTATTGAACAGAGCTACACAGAACTGTCAGTTCCAAGTAACTGGTTAATTTTGAAGTGCTGTCGTATCGCAAGTTTCTTTAAATGTATTTGTGTTTTCCAGGTGCACATCAAATAGTTTCCATCTAGTAACCGTTCCTTGAAGAATGGAAAACTTGTTCTCAAATTAATTTTGCCGTTATCCCCTATCTTTTCTCCTTTATTTCCCTAAGTGTATGTATTTATATGTGCTATCTTAACAAACTGACAGAAATGGCATTCCAACTAGAATCCTGATTACATCAGTTGTCACTGGGAAGTGAAACTGCAGGAATAGCAGTCTGTTTGCTAATGTTAGCTCAGTTAAACTAAGAAAGTTTCCTCATATATTAAAATTCTTTTTTTTTTTAAATGGAATATTTACTTCCCTGAGTGAGACTATGACAGCTTTTAAAATAACACTGAAACCTTTTCCATATCGGTCATGTTTACCACATCAAATGTTCGAGCTCAACCTGCTGCAATGCGCCATTGCATACACCTGCACTCTGATGCATAGCGATGTTTAAAACAGCCCTGTCATGTTTTCCTCTCGTCTTCCACATGACAAATTTTGATGCAGAAAGTAAATATTTCTGTTAAAAACAGTGAAACTTTAAAGTGTACTGTTCAAAGCTGTAGACTAGAAGGGTTTGCTTTACCGTATCGCCTGGTTACTTCTAGTGTGTGCCGCTGAGGGAGACCCCTAAGAGCAGTAATGGACATCCCTGACCCGCTGAGTTACCATTCCTTTAGAGGTGAAGCCCGGGGATAAACTGTTAAATGGGCAGTGAATACCTTATGCACAAAAACGTGTGCCATCTTAGAGCAGAATAAACAGCTACAGAAAATATGATGAAAGTGCTCCAGTTAAAAATCCAGAAGCTGTTTACTCCTGCCTTTCTGTTTTAATTCGCAGAGCCACAAATAATTTGTTGTGGAATTCTCTTTGCATTTTATCCCAAATAATGTTCTGTGTTGCAGGAACCACCGCATCTCTTGATTTTTTTTTTTTTTTTTTTTTTTCCCTCCCTTTTCTATTTGAGACTGAACCTGGTGATGTTTTCTTACACTAAATCTTGTTAACTGTTAATAGATTCTGTGTTTTAAGTGTCATCCACTGTAGACACTTTGGGCTATACCTTGCAGAAATACAGGTAGGAAGCAGCTTGACTTGCACATACAAATGGAAATTTCTCGAGAGGCAGCATTATACAGACTCAGATAAAATCCTCTTTAATGTTCTTGAAGTTACTGGAGCTACATCTGGATTTTACTTTTAAGTATAACACACCACACAAAATACATCTGAAACATTAAAGGCTTGGATTAGTTTCAGGAGTGATTTTTGGATTAGTTTCAAGAGTGATTTTGGGTCTCAAAGAGTTTTGCAAGTATTTGCAACTGTATGCTACCTATATTTAACAGGTATTAAATTTTCAGAATTGTTGAAGGAGTCAATGTCTAAATTAATGAACTACTTTTTGAAATGTGAAGTTATTGGCTCAAGTTTTCACATGGAGAAATGGCTTTCTGAAGGACAAGTTAAAAAAATGTACCCATAAAAATCTGCTTCTGCCCTAATGTATTCTGCAGTGCATAACTTATCAGCAAGGTGGACACCAATAAGATAACCTGGGCCCCATCCACCCCTGCCATGGTCTTAGTGAAGCATTGTTAACTCTCCAAAGGCTATGCAGATCTGTAAATGTCTAAATACACTTATGGCAAATCTATATATTACTATTTAAGCAAGAGGGTTGAGGGTGTTGAGTGACAGCCTTAAAACCTCATCTAAGTATCTCGCCAAAAGACATCTCGGGAAGAATCCGGTTTACCTGTGCAGAGTCACGTGCTACACGTGAGGACTGGCATCAGCATACCAGCTGGGTGCCCTCCCTTCCTCTTAGCTACTTTTTCCCTAAGCAAAGCTGAAAACTCCAGCCCATGTTATCAGAAACACTTCTAACAAAAAGCAATAACAAACGCGTATGTTGTTATGGAATGTTATGTGTGTTGCATGTACTGTTACCTAACGTTGTGTTATGCATATTGTTACCGAATGTTCTTGTTTTATATACACACCTCATTTGTTACAGTTTTTCAGGACACTGACATACCAAGTCTTACATTTATGAAAGAGCCAGATGCTAGTCACTGGAAATCATACTCTGATAGGTTATAAAGTTATATTGTAAGCTCACTGCATTAGCTTCCCGTGCACATGACACCTGCAGGTACACAAATAACATCAAATGACAAAACTAGAAAGCAGTTTCTTCATACTTTATTTTACAATTTCTCACTAAATGTATTTACAGAACACGGAGTTTGCTTTAGTGCAATACATAGTAATGTTGCATAAGTACAAACTGTTGAACTCTTCTAAAAAAAAATAAAGAAATAAAGCACTTAACTGATGTTACAGCTAAGTATGTAAAGCAACGTTAATAACTCTGAGTGAAAATGCTAACAGCATCTTTTCAAAAACAATTTCTAGAAACAAACCACAAACCGGCATTACGTATTCCAAACCACTAACCCTTGTACAGTACCATATCATTTAAAAAATGATTTTGTAAAAGCACATATACTGTACGGTATGGCAGTCTTTCTCTACAGATACTGACTTGCTCTTTTAATACAAATATGATATTACCGTGGCAGTATTGAAGAACAAAGTTATCTCAAGATATCAAACATCAGTAACAAACTCTGATAAGCGCAGCTTCTTGAGAACTTGCTTGAACAGCTTTTCTTCACAGTGATATTTATGAAAGGTTGGAAAAAGATTAGCATAAAATATTTCCATCCTTTTTCAGTTTTTATGCAAAAATCATTACTTTATATCGGTAATTATAAAATTACAAACACTTTCTATAAGTAACTGCGTCTGTAGTAATGATAGAAAAAGTTATCAGTAAGATACCTAAAATGAGGCTTAAATAAAATGACAGTTTGAAGAAAACCAGGTACGTCTTTTTTTAAAATAATAGTTAGAGAGTTAACTTAATTTAGAATAAGCAACAGCGTAGTTTGAGACAACCTATTAATCAATTTAAAAAAGCTAATTATTTATTAATAAATGTTAAAAAATAAAGGAATTGTGATGTGGTGAAATCAACATTTAAAAAGATATGATGAACATTTACTCTTAATCTTAGTTTTGGCACTTCATTGGAACAATTACTTTACCAAAGACCAAAATACATATAAAAGATATACAGCTCCTTGACATATCTCGCAAATATAGTACGGGAGTACCGGTGAACACTGAAAACAGTTAGTGAAACATTCCCACAGATTTGCACATGCATGCACTAGTTGGACAACAGCACAGGATCTATGTTCTTGGCTGTGACGGTCTGGCGTTGCTGGGGCGTTTTAGGCTGTTTCTTCAGTAGATCTTGTCTCGGACTTAAGCCTTACAAATTCTTTAGCAACTTCATCATTGGTCCTCTGAGAAAGTATCCGAAGAATTGTTAACCCGGTTTCATCGACAGCGATGTTTCTCAACAAGGGGTACCAAGACGCACAGCTGCCTTTCTCGGCTATGTTCTGCAGCTGAATGACTGTCATTCCTATGACGCGGTCTTCCCGAGCAAAGCAGTAATCTTTCACCGAGAGATGGAGTTCGTAGGCTCTTGGCTTATCTTCATTACTCAAAATGCTGCACGGGTTAAAAATAGGAGTTTAGAACATCTTGTTCCGTTGAATTCCCCTGAGGAATGAATGTGCTCGGGAAGTCGTGTAAAAAATTAAAGTGATCGTGGTATTTTAATTTTTGTGGTTCCATTCTGTTGCCACAAAATACAATTTAGTTTTAGATCTTCTACACAGTTAACCTGTCAGATGCTACTGCTGATACAGCCTCTGTTCCCACTGACCTGAACAGAAACAGAGCATTCATTGTTCCCTCAATAGCTGAAATAAAGTGACCTTTCCCTGGAAAGTACCTAAAACATTCAACTAGTTTGACAACTACCACAACCACATATTTAAATCAACTGCAAAAAAATAAAAAAAATCCCTGGCAGCAAGGCTTAAAAAGAGCTTTGTGATCACACACTGCGTAAGTGAACGCTGTCCGAGTCAGGGTTGGGGCTTAAGGGGAGGAAAATGAGTTGGTCTCAGTAATGAAAGGGGAGGAGGAGAAAACAGAGGAGAGGTGCTGCGAGAAGCGCTAAATTTAAAACTCCAGGTTAGATCAAAGTTTCTTCTTGCTTTAAGGATTAAATAATAGAGATAAATAATACCATTAACACATGCTCAACCCTTTACATATTTAGATATCTCAACATGAGGCAGTAATAATTAATGCTTCAGTCCAAGTAATTACTTAGGCAAATAGATTCCTAGGTATATAAATAGTTATTTCTGTGTACGGAAAAGTACATTTTAACCAGCTTTTGTAGGACTGAAATCTTAGTGGTTGTCATTTATCTTCATATAAAACAAAGGTAAAAATCACTAAATAATTTTGAAGTGTTGTCTGTATCTATGGACTCTGATGTGTATGGCAGCCTGTTATAGTTTAATACTTTAATATACCCGTTTAAGTGCAAGAAATTCTAACAAAATTTGCATACATTATGCAATTAACAGACAAAGAAGACTTACAATTGGAAAGTTTCATTGTATTTTGGTGACCAGGTGTTGCTTTTTGTCTTGGTTCCGTGTTTTCTTTTCCTGTCGCTTAGGTTAGGACCTAATATGCAAACTTCCACAAACGGCCGGAACATCGCTGTGGTTTGCCAGTTTAGATTGTTAATTGCTACCACTATAAAGAAATAAAAGAAATCAAGGTAAATAAAATCCCACTGGAAGAACTTCCATTAATTATCCAGTGCGACTCTGTAGAGCCGATGAAAGGTGACCTGAGAGCTTTCCTGTAGGACACCACTACCTGGCTGCCGAGGAGGGGCTTTGCCTCTTCTCTGCCAAGTCATGTGCGACTGCTTTCAGTCACAACAGCAGCAAATATAAATACATATTTTACAAGCGCTTTACATTAACAGCCTTTTTGTCTGCTACTTTCACTGTAATTAAAAAAACAGCTTATACTACTCTAAATGGTACTGGGTTTTCTCTGGAATCCAGGTTGTGTGGAATGAAGGAGTTTTGTTAAAAACTGAACTTTTTAGGTCTCGGCGCAGTCATCAATCACCCAGCATTGCTACAGCTTTTGGAAAATTAAATTATATGCAAGCAATTCAGAAGTGTAACTTGGCACATTTGAAATTATAACTCCAACACTCTGTATCATAAATTTTGACTGTCTACCCAAGAGAAGCATAGACAGTGCTTACCTGCATGATCTGAACTTCTGCTGATGTTGAGCAAGAAAAAAGTACGATCCTAATCACCTGAAGCATACTTGTAGCTTTACAAGTACTGTCATTCTTAACATTTGTTATTTCATTGTGGGTATGTTTTACTTAGTACTTAGGGGTTTTGGACTTTGTGGTTGTTTTCTTTCTAAAATTAGCTATTTGACACTTACCTTTTACAGTGACCTTATGCTCACCGGTTCCGGAATGTGTTGAGACATCCACCTGTACAGAAATCTCACCCACGGAATTGTTAGTGGTTTGACCTGAAATAACAATTAGGAGATTAACACATTCCTTCTCAGTATGTCATAAGAAACAGACAGCGAAAGGAGGTGAGCGACAGTTTCTGTCAGAAACTCTTAGAAGTTTCTGACGTTTCTGTTCGTAACTATTTCACAGTGAAGTGGGAATCAGCTATAGGTTCCTAAGTGATTCTGCCATGAAAGTACGCAGCAGTTGCAAATGTCGATGCAAAGTGCCTCAGTGAAATAAAAACCGCCTTTCACCTGGCACCTTCCTTCTGGTTGTTGTTAGGAACGTTTACAGCTTGAAATGCAAAAGTTGGTGGTTTCATCAAGCTTTGTTTGCATGTGCACCCCAAAAAGCTGACTGCAATATGCATCTGGAGGGTTATTTCTGCACTGCTGTTAACAAATCCTTTTTGCTGGGGCTTTAAGCAAACTACTAAAGTTCTGCACGAGCACAGGCACAGGGGCTTAAAGAAAAAGGGAAGGTTGTGGGGATGGCAGAGGGGCCAGGAACTGAATTTTGAAAGTTTTTGCTTCTGAGCACCAGTGCAGGTTCTAAGTCAATATGCACATAATGGTTCCTTAAAAGGACTCTCAGTAGGTATCGAAAGGTCCTTTAAGATATCAGACTATAACAGTACAATATAAATAAATGTGGATTTCACGATCAGTGGCTTGCTAGAAACATGTTCTGTAGTGATGTCTGTTTGTTGTGTTGGCATAACCTGTAATTATGTTCTCTGCACTGGTTGAACGTTGCAAGGTCAATTAAACTCCTACCCCAAGCGTTACTGCTTCACAGAACGGGTTTTCTTCCCTGATACATCAAAATGTGGAAATTCAATTAACTAAATTAACTTGCTTAGAATTCTTGAACATTGTTCTCCATTTTCCAGTGTTCAGGTGAGTTTGGCTTGTAATTGTCACGAATCCACTTTTGAATTGTAGTCGACAGTGTTTTAGCAACAATACCGTCTCCATCTGTCCATCGGGTTATAGCTGTTACTGCCGAATCACAGGGTACCCGGGCGACTTTGGCTGCCGGATGCATTTCGATATCAGAGGGTTTGGACCATTACTGACGGGTAAATAAGCAGTTTGTTAGACACCAGATTTTTAATGACAAGTTTAGTTTCAGTGGCAGCCATTAAACCTCTTGCTGTATTTGGGTAATTACTTAAGGCTGCACTGCACAGGATCTTCAGTTAAGCTGCTGAGTCATTCTGCTTCTTGTTCACAATAAATAATATGTAATTTTTTTAAGAACATGTATAAAAATGTAGGAATGAAACGGACCAGAAAAGCCATATAAAATCAATAGAACAGCTTTATTTAGGAGAGTAAACCAATGTATTATCTGACTGTACGGTAAAATCAGCCTTTATTTAGGAAGAGAAACAGAAATCTGATTTGGTCAAGATCATAAAGTTAAAGCTGTTTTCCTTTTCTCTTACACAGTATCTTTAGAAAACGTATCAGTGAGTAGCATAGTATTGACACTGAGATTCTGCTGCTTGAAATAAAATCTATTTATTAATTAAAAAAAAAAAAAATTGTTTGGAGCACACAGTGCTGTGTAAAATAATTCTGTCCAGAAAAACTAGATTTTAAAAACCACCTCATTTTCATTATGTGGTGTTTTTAATGGAGTTACATTTGACCCAGCATGATGACTTGTGTGAAAACATCTTGCTTATATTTATGTGGATTACTTAACTTGAACTAAATTAAGACAACAAATTCAGACACCTAAAATTCAGAAGGCAGCTTGTCTGGGCTAGTACTCTGATACTATACATAAAGTGTATTTATATACAGGTTATTCTCAGTGGCTTTCTGATGTTGTAAAGTAAATCAAAGAGAGTAGACACTGGAGCTTCTAGAGCATTAATCTGTCTTGTTCTTTCATACTGTGAAACTCGACCTTTTCAATCTGTTACTGCCTGGAATTCAACTGTAACGAGTTAAGAGAGTGTAGGAGAAGTTCTCAAACTTCCCCCTAACTGAAATTACTAATAATTTACCACTGACTGGAAGGTGAGCCAGGCTGAATGTCACTGAGAATACCAGCCAGTGTCAATTACTTGTTTTAGCCTTTAGATTAAAAAAACTCAACCCAAAACCCCTTTAAGAGAAATCAGGAATGTTTTAAAAGAAAACAATTAGCATTTTCATTGGATAGCTCATGCAGCAGCCTGTGGGACAATAACGGAACGTGCTGTGTTAACCTGTGATAATGACACAGTAGGTCTTACTGAGACAAAATCTATGAATCTACAAGATAAGTTTTGTTCTCTTTCTTCAGATTTTTGTATTAACTGTGCAAAGTATATCCTTGCAAAGATCTCCTAACTGATCTTTTCCTTTCCTTTTCCTGGCAGTCCATGATTGACAGCAGTGCCCTAAGCAGTACCACAAATATATAGGGGGAATTGTAGTTTGATGTGGTTCTAAAGAAATCTGTGTAAAGCGTCACACATTTTACACTGCACACAGCAGACGTTAAAAGGACACTACAGTTCACCATTGCTGAGGAAATTCCTGCAGCAGAACACCCCAGCCAGCAGAGACAATTTCTGGTGGAGTCTAGAATATAAGCTTGGTTCTTTCGGTTACCACCGCCTCCCTCTTGCACTTGCTTTCTCTCTGACCTGCTGAGCAAACTGGTGCATTCAGTATTTGCTTATAGCAGCTTTGCTTGGCACTCAAGAACTCTGTTACTTCATTTTAAAGTCTCTGATCTGTCTATTTCTGAGGTTTTGTTATCTTTCTTGCTACCAGTTCTTGTAAAGTCAGAGCAGGATTTAGTGATTCTGACTGCACTATAGAAAAGTCTGTTTATCCTACCACTGCTGTTTAACTGACAACAAGCATCTAGCCCTGTACTGCAGAGGATGACGGCACTTTTCGTCCTTTAGCACAGCAATATAACTCTTTAAAAGCTTAACAAACTTACAAATAATTGTGCTTTAGGTTTGAAAACCTTATGGTTGCTTAACTACTACTGCTTCCACTCTAAACTCCACTTTAGATTTTATTTGTTAGGTGTCTGTATGAATTAGGTTTTTAAAGAGACCACCTGCATTTAAACTGCAGTCATTCTGTTGCACCAAACTGTAAAGGAGAAAAATATTCCTCTGGCCAAAGATGGTGGCTTCTCAGTGGACAAAAAGTCCAAAACAGTCAGGCTTTGATTCCTCCTTAATTTAGCACCTGGAATGTCATCAGTGTGACAGTCGTTAGAGTGTTAATGGTCATGACAGAAGAGAGCCCTTTCGGACCAAGAATCTAGTCCAACGTTGCCTAGTTATGATGGTATTATTGGCTACAAGTGCGCACAGAAAACAGACCTTCTGTCTTCTGTTCCTTAGTAGGGACCTTTGGAGAAGTGTGAGCTTGTGGACTCTGGTAGAGAGAACAGCAGAAAATACAAGTAGGAAAATGAGTCATGTATATTTTGTAAAAATAAATCAGAAACTCTATATTCTCTAGAGTAATAGCCCTGTTAAATGCAAGTGACTCTTACTGAATCAGTCTGTGGTTGTGCAGAGAAGTACATTTCTGTGAAAGGGGTCCTTTGTCCTGCTTGAATCCTTCAGCAACAAAAATTTCTGAAAGTTTTCCTGTCAGGAGGACTTTGGAAATTTAAATTCTAGGTTTGCATGAAAAAAGAGCCGAGCAGAAATAAATTGGATTCACAGAAAATGAGCTAGTGTAAAATTTAAGAATAGACTTTAAGACCCTGGAATAGCAGGAGCAGTACTTTTGATGGAGTGTCCTTTCCAGCTGCTCTGGAAGTTGGGGCGTGGCAACTGTAATGCTTTTATGATTGCTTGAAAAGAAATGGGAAATATTAAGAGTAGTTTGGTTGGGGGGGCTACTAGGAGCCGTGGTGTGGTCCATGGATCTCAATAAGTGTGGCAAACTATCTGGGAAGCTGAGCTAATCGTTGGTCTCTGTGCTCCAGCCACCACAGTTACGCCACTGTAAGTGTTTAAGAGAGCAGAGTTTGTGTACGTAATTACTGAAACGAGCACTGTAGCGATGCCCAAATTTTGCACTATTTGTATATATTCTAATATAAACACAGGGGAATTTACATAATTATGCAAATTCCCATGCAGAAATATTTAGGGACGATAACATTGCTGTATCTGAAAAGGTATTGCCTGACCTATCTGCTAACAGAGTTAGTTTTTGTCTGGTATTGTATTTAGACAAATGTTATCATCAGTCTTGCAATCTCTGCTATTTATAGTTCAGTGTGGCAAAATTTGGCATCGATGAGAAAGTGAAACCCAGCAGCCTTGAAAACTGAGCAGTAAGAAAGCAATGATTGGGTTGTGTAAAAAAGTCAGACAGAAATACGCAGTGTTGACCCCTAAGAGAACACCCTGTCCCTGCAGTCAGCCAGCCTGGCAAGCCTTTTCTTTCACCAGCTCTGCGCCTGTAGTGCAGTTTGAAGACGGCTGTATGAGCCGTGGTTACCCGATCGTGTCGTGGTACAGAATGTGAACTCTCTGACGTTCTACCTTATGATATCAAGTCTTTTGAAACTGCTTTGAGATCTTTTGGTATTTATCGTATCTGCCTCCTTGTAGTTTCATGTAAAATCCTTGCATCTGGAGAAGGCTTTATTTGAGGGTTCTTTCTCACAACAAAAAGAATAAAAGACAGTAGCAAATTGTGTGTCAGAGAGAGAGATTGAGGGCATGCTTGCAAAACAAGGATTCTTTTTATGCTGCAAAGTCATCTAGTAGCAAAAGAAAAGAGTAATGTAATGTTTTTATTGTTCTTCAGCTAGGGACATATTCTTCTTGTTTCATCGAATAACAATTACAGCTTTCAATAACAACAGACGGATTTAATTATTTTTTCTTGTCTTTTTCTTTATTTTTTTTATTTTTTTTTTACTGCTGAACTCCAATAGCATTAACTGTTTATGTGCTGTGCAGCGTCCATTCTTGTTCAGCAGTGCTTGCAGAGACAACTCTAACCACACAGCCGCATTGTAA